TAATTTTAAAAAATATATATGATTATATATATATATATATATATGAGAAATGTTTCTCGGACTAAAAAGTATTTTCTCCCGTGCCCTCGAAGAGATGCAATTAACTAAATATCAAAGTGATTTAACCAGTCACCTAAGAACTTAAAATCAGTCAGGAATTTGAACCATGAATTTATTTTATATATTTATGCCACCTCATTAAGTCATAATAAGAACTTAAGAAATTTAATTAATTTAAAATATAAATTAATTATAGATTTAAAAATAGGCCTAAAACTAATATAAAAATCAGTGCACGTCTTACATTTGCTTAAATTAAGTTGTTTAGAAAAGTAAAATAAAATGTTGATAAAAAAATAATTTTATTACGTAAATATGACTTAAGGTTAAAAATAAAATTTATTTAAAAAAATGTTTCTCTTAAAAATATTATGACTATTTGTTTAAAATATCAATTCTTGAAAATCAAAATTAGATAAATAATAATTACACAATTATAAATATAAATATATATATATATAATTATTTAAATATGTATATATGTTTACAAGCAATTAATATTAAGTTTGCAAACTTTAAATTTGACTCATTTAAATAATCGAATCTAACTTTAAATTTAGTGAAATATTTGTCTCGAATAGTCTATTTATATATGCCTTAATTGAAAATATAAAAATCCTCGAGATGCAGGGAAGGGAGGAGTGCTTAAAAGAATGAATTGTATTAAACAAAGCATGTGGAAGAGGAATGAAGTTGGTGCATTGGGTTTGGGAATCATACTTAGTGAAGTAAGTAACCTCAAACAAAACTTACTAATTCTTGAAACGGAGGCACAAGAAGTGAGGGGGTTATAGTAAGCAAGTTGTAGGGTGATAAGGAGTTCAGATATCAATAAATTATATTTACTTGTAAATCATCATTTTTATAATATCCAAACAAAATTTTACGTATCACTTAATATCTTTATCAATGTTATTTTGTAATATGATCAAGTTTTAATAATGAGCTTCTTTTGTGTTTACTCATAAAAAAAGCTAATTGAAGTCCATATATTTGCTAACATGAGTCAAACTTATCACTAAGAAAACACTAAGCTATATATGAAAGGGCATGTTCAGTTGGCAGCAGAAGTTCTGGCCTTCAAATATGGGAATTGGGTTGAGAATGAGGTAAGATTTTGCTTTACTTCAGTGGGAAAACACAGAGATAGGTAACATGGGCATCATGTATTTTTCCTCCTTCCCCTTGGTTCCGTTAATTGAACTATCTGACGTGTAGATGCAGTACAATACTTTAAAAATCGTGATTCATGAATGTCTAGCTATGCGTGTGCAAGATGGGGATCACAATTACACATAAACTTAACCAATATTCATGAAAATTAATGGTAATGGGTAGGGTATTTACTTATAATAAAATGATTTGTGTTCAAGAGGATTGAATTGAAATGAATAAAAGTTAGATTAAATTAAAAGAATAGAGATTTAAGAGTTTGATTTTTCCTTTCGTTTTTTTTTAAGTATATGTTATATTAATTTTTATGTATATAATGAAGTACTAAATCATTTTAGATTAATTTAAAATTATGCACATATGATTTAGACGATAAAAAAATTAAATTCAATGGTTGATTTTTAAAAGAAATTAAATAGTATAAAATTGTACGTAACTCACAGCAATATAAATTAATCCTTTCTTAATCCTTACATATACAATTTAATAAAATTTAATTTTTATTTCAGATTTAAAGAAATAAATATTATAATATAAAAAATTGAACCTAAATCATTAGATATATGAAAATTTAAAAACATTAAAATGTGAAAATGAAAATATATTAAACCATTGAATAGAGTAACAAATTAAAATATTTCTAAATCTAAAAATATACATAAAATGTCGTTAACAATTTTAATGGGAGAAAGTTAGTACTATACATAGGTTAACTAATCCATTAACAATTGTATATGTAAAAAGGAATTATAAAACTTTATTTTTAATAAATAATACTTACAATAGTTGCTTTTATCAAAGAAAATATTAAATCATTTTTTATAATTTTTAAATGAGTAATAAAATTTATTAAATATTAATATTTATATACATATTTTTAAATTATATCAAAAGATATAATAAAATTTTATATCAATAAATTTTTATTAAAAATTATAGTATATGATCTATTACATTAAATACTGTATTTTTTTATAATTTTTATTATTTATTAATCCTTTATTGTTTATTTTGAAAACACGTTAAAATAAATTAAATAACATAATCTTATTAACAAAGTTTGGCTATTTTTTTGAGGTGGACAGTACAACAAAGTTTCTTTAAAATATTTAATAAAACTATGATTAAGTTAAAATAATTCAGTGTTAGTTAATTTACATGCTCAGTAATAATTTAGTATTTAATAAATTTTTTATATTAAAGAGTAAAATAAAATTTTATTTATATAAAGATGACTTAAAGTCAAAAATAAAAAAATTATTATAAAAATAACATTTTTAAAAAAAAATTATTATTATTTATTTAAATTATAACACTTAAAAAATTAAATAATAATACACATTAATAATAATAATAATAATGATATAAAAAGTAAGTAAATTTAATAAATAAAACTATGTATATATTATACACACAAATTATTCTCGAACAACTAATGTCAAGTTTGTAAAATTTAAACTTGACTAGTTCAAATAATTGAATATAACTTTAACTTTTAAATTTATTTATTTAATTTAAAAAACTAGTTTGATCCGATTTAAATTATTCACAAGTAAATAAACTCAATATATACTTTTAATATTATTCATTACAGTAATTTTTTTTCTCTTTTCTTCCACTCATTTAATATAAAAAAAAAGGGTGTGAAGGTATTTTTTTTTTTTCTTAAATGATTACGACAATGGCGGTCTGTTTCAAAGGAGCTGAGATATATTCTGAGGGGTTAGATAAAAAAAGAAGAGTCAAAAGTTTTTATAAAAAGAAGTGTATAAATGATAGAACAAGGTTTCCGGCCATCTTCTGTTTACATTCCACAACAATTCTATGGTCCCAACAAGTGCGGCTGCCATTTTAATATTACCTCTTTCTTTCTTCTTCCCAAAGGTTTTGCTCTTATTGCAAATTCTTGCGTTTTGATTTTCTTCGTGTGATGTCAAATTCGGATGAAATGAGATGAGAAAATCATATTCACTTTGACATTCAAAGATGCACTCTAATTTGGTCCTCCTCTGTCTTAAAGTGAGACTATTGGAATTAATTAATTAAACAAGTTAGCACCATAATGCTATCAATACTACCTTGTGGGCTTGGTGGAGAAGCCCCCAAGTGGCGCTCTTATCAGGGCTTCTAATTTGGTCTGGTAGGATTGAAGATGGGAACACTCAAAAAACTAAAGAAATTCCAATATAAAAATATTTGTGTGGATCAATATTCTCTTTGAACGGATCATTTAAGGGTATATTCAAATCTGTATGGTTTTCCCAAAATACTGTTGAAACTAAAATTCAAAAAATTTTAGTCGTAAGCGCTGCCGTTGACTGCTTAAAAGAAATCTAAAACTGTAGCCGTAAACCAGAATTTGGAATTTTGTGTGTTTAAACTTAACCGAAAAAACGATATAGGCACCATCATAAGGTCATCATCATCTGAAGCTAAATAGAAGGCACGAGCTTCCACTGTGTGAGAATTACAATGGCTTACATATATCCTCCCTCTGATTTTCATGCACCTTCTATCAGTTCATCCTTGTTACATTGTGACAGTGAACAATCAACTCTTTATATTCCAGCAAATCTCAATTTTCATGAAGATATAAAACATATTAAAATTGACTTTCATGTTGTTCGTAAAAAAATATAAGCCAAACTTTTTTCATCTGCTACCAATATCCTCAGATGATCAACTAGTTGACATCTTAATCAAACCTCTTGATCCTTTGCTCTCCAAGAAGTGATTTTTTTAGCTCTATTTACAATAAAAAAAATCTTAAATAATACTTGTGAAGTCAATAGAGCATAACACTTGTGCATTCTCACTAAGTAGAAATTGTCTTTTTTAGAAATTTACTGCTATATAATGTGAGTTGTTTTTATTAAATGAATTTTTAAGAGTTATATTAAATAAGAGTATTAATATAAAAATTTATTTTCCTTTTCATTACATAATTTGATTTCATTTATATCAAATATTTAATTTTTTAATTTAATTTATTCCTAATTTTAAAAAAATTATCTCTTTAATTAAATTAAATATAATATAATAGAATATTTATTTTCAATAATACAAAATTGTTTTTAGTTTATTAAATTTAAAAATAACCATATCATATATTTTAATTTTTATTTAAAAATTATTTTAATTTAATAATACTGATAAATACAAAAAAAATCAATTTTAATAATAAAGATAGATATAGAGTTATAAAATATTAAATTTAATTAAAATAAATTAACACTAAAAAATTATATTATCATTCAATTATAAAATATTATATTAGACTATTGATATAATTAATACTATAGTTGATGATTGAGGAACTTAATCAAACATTTTTCCTGTTTATCACTTTTATAAGATAGAAACTTATTATTACTTAAATATTTTAAATAACTAAAACTTAATTTTAAATAAAAATATTAAGGTAAAAATTAACAATAATGTATAATTTAAAACATTTTAATGATAAAAATAAAAAAGTAATTTAAATTAAGTAAATTTGATTATAGAAAATAAATACACAAAAAAAATCTTGTAATTATTTGATAAAAAAAAAATCCGTATACACAGAAGTATTCTAACTAGTTAAATGTAAGAAAATAATTATTTTCTCGTCCACACCGCGTTTTTCCGCCTAAAAGAGGCTTTGACTGAGTAGCCAATTCAGGTAAGTAGATTGACAAATAAATATGGGACTTGTATTTTTATTTATTTATTTGGTGATGTTGGAGATTATGGTATAAAAGCAAATGCTCCCTCATCCCATAGCTTCTGCCACCTCTATCTTCATTGCGCAAAAGAAGCAGAGCTATACAGTTAACAAAAGAGTAAATAGAAGATGGTCCTTGCAAAGGAAATTATGGGCTCTTCCTCAAAATTCTTTCTGCACAGTAACAGTTTTCAACATAAGCTAGGGGTCAATCCTAACTTGGTTCCCATGGAAAACAGAATAAGAGTACTAATGAGGTTGAGGAAAGGTGCAAAGTTTCCAGTGGCAGCTATCAGTGAGGATTTGGTTAAGGCCTCTGTTCATGCTGAGAAACCAGTGCAATTCAAGGTTAGAGCTGTGGTGACAGTAAGGAACAAAATCATAGAGGATTTCAAAGACACCATGTGGAAGCATTTGGATGCCATCAATGATAGGATAGGAACAAGAAATGTGGCGTTGGAGCTTATCAGCACTGAGATTGATCCCAGTAAGCCTTTCACGTCTTACCTTTGTTACCAAACACAACCATTCGACACCCAATTGCTTTCCCTTTTTCGAGTCGCAATTTCTTCAACTTAACCACTTTTTTTTAACATTCCAAGAAAGAAAAGTCCTTTTTTTTTTTGTCTCCAGGGTGCGTATTAAATATATTTCAAATATTCTTTTTCTCCATAAGTCCATTTTAATTGGTACAGCTCGAGTAAAATACGAATGAGTGGTAATCAATGAATTTTCGCTCATAGTTTGGTTCTTATTCTGCTACATAGAAACGAAATCTCCAAAGAAGAGCAAAGAAGCAGTGCTGAAGGACTGGTCGAAGAAATTCAACGTGAAAGCAAAGAGAGTTAATTATATAACTGAATTCATTGTTGACTCCAATTTTGGGGTCCCTGGAGCTATCTCTGTGACTAACAAACACCAAAGAGAGTTCTTCTTGGAAAGTATAACCATCGAAGGGTTTGCCAGTGGACCAGTTCATTTCCCCTGTAATTCATGGGTCCAAGCTACAAAGGATCATCGCGGAAAGAGGATATTCTTTTCAAACAAGGTAACTTAACTGCCCACGTATTAGTATTTATTTATTTTTTTTGTTCAACATGGAAAGGTCAAACCAATTTTAATATATTAGTAGTTCTATTTCTTGAACGCCAACTACTTGAATAGGCAGCTCATTTTTTATTTCTTTGTTGAAAAACTTCAACTTCCATTTGTAAACTTGCTTGTTTTATTATTTATTTTAAGAAAATATTAATTAGTGTTTTAAAGCATAGTTAAAAAATTAAAAATGTAAAAATATATTCATTTTATAATTTTTAATAAAAACTTTATTTATTAGTTTATTAACCGATATTTTTAAAAGGGTTGATAGCATTCATTAAAAAATTAAAAATAATGAAGGAAAGTGTTCTAATAATATTTTTAAATATTTTAATTCTTTATCTAATACTTTTAGGATATTGGTTAGCATTTATTTATTTTTAAATAATGATGAACAGCACCTTTTATTTTGTATCAAAGAAAAAGTCTTCCGCAAGAATCACAAGTTGCAAATTTTAATTAAGTCGTAAACAAGCTTCCATTTGAAAATTATTATTGATTAAAGCTGGGGTTATGGACCTTTAAGCTTACGAATCAACCACCGACAACAAAGACCACCCAATTTAATACACTTGGAAGAAAAACAAAATGATAAAACTAATATTTTATTACATGTCACAATATTTTTACATTTAACTCTGGTTTTTAGCAGAAAAACAAAAAGATTGTTAAATTGGGTTATATAGTAGATTATGTGATTTATTTGGCAGACATATTTACCTGGAGATACACCTAGTGGGCTAAGAGTATTGAGGGAGAGGGAGCTGATAAATCTTAGAGGTGATGGGAAAGGAGTTAGAACACTATCTGATAGAATATATGATTTCGATACATACAATGATCTGGGAAATCCAGATAAAGGAGTTGACCTAACGAGACCTACTCTTGGTGGATCCCAAAACCATCCATTCCCAAGACGCTGTCGTACTGGACGCGCCCCCACTGATACAGGTACAATGAGGGTAGTTAGTTTTGCGTAAAAAGCAAAGAGTATGCAAAAGTGTATGAAATCAGAATCATTACGTAATAGGTAATATGCCATAATGCGGTTGCGTGATACAGATATGCATGCTGAGAGTCGAGTGGAGATGCCACTGCCTATGTACGTACCAAGAGACGAGCAATTCGATGAGTCTAAGCGGAACACATTCGTCATCAAGAGGCTCAAGGCAGTGCTCCATAACTTGATCCCTGGCCTTAAGGCTACTCTTTCTGCTAGTAACCACGATTTCAACCGATTTTCAGACATAGACGACCTTTACAGTGATTTGCAAGATGAGATCTTCTCATTGCCACAAGTGGTCACCAAGATGCAAGAATGCAGCCGGGGACTTCTTAAGTATGACATCCCCAAGATTATTTCTAGTGAGTTTCCTTCTAATTATTATATTTTTTGCGTAAACTAATATTTATCTTGATCACTAACCTCACTTAACTACCTCTTTGGAGTAAGATTCCAATCTTAGATATATCTCAATGTTATACATGCTTATGTAAGATCGAGTTTTACGCATCACATTTCATTTATACACATCCTAAGTCCCGCGTCAAGCATACTTAAATAATCAACTTCTGGTTATCGGCATTAATAACAATGTCCCTAAATTAAATTATTTAGTTAGATATATATTGCGTTTTGGTAAAGAAATAAGAGATCTGTCCAAATCAGATATATATTGCGTTCGGGTAAATTTAGATTTTAAAATAATTTAGTTATTTAAGTTTAAAATAATGAAAGATATTTTTTTTAAATCTTTCCAATTTGGAGGTAAAGTAAGAATGAGACAAATGATATTTTAAATCTCTTATATCCTCCTCTAAATTGTTTAACAAGACAAATTCAAACTTCTACTAAAAGAAAATATCTCTCCCTTTTATTTTCTTCTAACCGAAGAAATTGTTAGTGATTTATTTTAAAGAAAAGAATCCATGAAACTCTCATCACGCAATCAAATTGTAATGTAAATTTAAGGTCCCCACGAGAGTATTTTTTAGATTGAAAAAAATAAGTTTGAGACGTTAGGACGTGGGAGAGAATCTCTTTGTCGTTCTTGCGCGGGTGGCATCCCTCTGTATCCTTATTGATATTGTTTTGACTTTGAAAACATGAAGCATATCATAACATATAATAAGTTTGATAAAAAGGAATATTTCTATCTCTACTTAATAGCAAAAAATTAAATTAGATATTATCTTTCATTAAGGGATATTTAGGAATGAATTTTTGGAAAGAAAGAGAACGAACGGTAATTCTTTTTATTATTTTTAAAGTTAAAGAACTATGAAACATTTATAAAAAAATAAAAAGATTAAGAATTAAGTATATGTTAATTTATTATTTTATTTATAAGATGTCAAATTGAAAAATATTTGTTAAAAGTATAAATCTTACCCATCCTTTATTTTATTTTTAATTTTTTCTTAAAACTGAAGGCTGAAACATACCATTAGACTTGCCAAGAGTTCAGGTAGTTTGTTATATGTGCTTATCATGTAGAACCAACCTCTTATCCAATGGTTGATTACAAGCGTTTAACAGGTAGGACTAACAATAGTAATATAACCAAAATGTTGTTTTTGCTTTTCTGGCTGATTAAACTAATGATCGCATGTTTTTATCGTACAGAGGACAAGTTTGCCTGGCTGCGAGATGACGAATTCGCCCGGCAAGCAGTAGCAGGAATCAATCCTGTTAACATTGAGGGGCTTAAAGTTTTCCCACCGGTAAGCAAGCTTGACCCGGAAATATATGGCCCCCAAGAGTCTGCACTTAAAGAAGAGCACATTCTAGGACAGCTTAATGGCATGACTGTGCAACAGGTACCCCACAAAATCCTTAATAAAAAGACAAAATATGCTTTGTTTCCAAATCCCATGACTTATCTTCAACACTTTATCCCCTAGTACTATGTTTATTTCTTTGAATTTGTCAGGCAATAGTGGAAAATAAGCTGTTTATGATAAATTACCATGATGCCTATCTTCCATTTCTTGACGGAATCAATGCCCTTGATGATAGAAAATCTTACGCTACACGCACCATCTTTTTCTTGACACCCCTTGGCACTCTCAAGCCTATTGCCATTGAACTTAGCCTCGGTCCCGGTTCCAGTTCAAAACGCGTAGTTATCCCTCCTGTGGATGCAACTACCAATTGGATGTGGCAGCTTGCCAAGGCTCATGTTTGCGCCAATGATGCTGGCGTGCACCAACTTGTTAACCACTGGTGAGCAAAGCCGTAAAGGCCCATATATATTATTTAATAAATCATTCTTTGAACTAATATAAATTGTATCTCGGCGGTTTTTACTGAATTGTATACAGGTTACGTACGCATGCCTGCATCGAACCATTTATATTGTCTGCTCATAGGCAATTAAGTGCAATGCATCCTATTTTCAAGCTGTTGGATCCACACATGAGGTACACATTGGATATCAATGCTTTAGCTCGTCAGAAACTTATCAATGCTGATGGAATTATTGAGTCTTGCTTTACTCCTGGCCGCTATTGCATGGAGATCAGTTCTGCTGCATACAAAAATATGTGGCGCTTTGACATGGAGGGTCTCCCTGCAGATCTCATACGCAGGTTAGTAAATATATAGCTGAGTGAGAGTGTTGAAGAGAAGTTGAGAATTCAATGAATCTTATATTAAAGATTTCCCTCCCTGCAGGGGAATGGCGGTGCCTGACCCATCACAACCAAATGGTCTAAAGCTCCTAATAAAAGACTACCCTTATGCAGCGGATGGGCTTCTGATCTGGTCTGCAATTGAGAACTGGGTCCGCACCTATGTGAACCACTACTACAGGCATTCAAACCTGATTTGCAATGACAAAGAGCTACAAGCTTGGTACACTGAGTCAATCAATGTGGGCCATGCTGATCTAAGGCATGAAAGCTGGTGGCCCACATTGAATAATAGGGAGGATCTTGTGTATATCCTTACCACCTTGATTTGGACGGTGTCCGCACAACATGCAGCTCTTAATTTTGGGCAGTACCCTTATGGAGGTTATGTACCAAATCGTCCTCCGTTGATGCGAAGATTAATCCCAGAAGAGAGTGATGAGGCAGAATATGCGAATTTCTTAGCAGATCCGCAAAAGTATTTCCTAAATGCGTTGCCCAGTTTGTTACAAGCGACAAAATATATGGCTGTGGTTGACACACTCTCTACTCACTCACCTGACGAGGAGTATCTGGGAGAACGGCAACAGGCATCCATTTGGTCAGGTGATGCAGAGATTATTGAGGCATTCTACAGGTTCTCCGCAGAGATCAGAGGGATAGAGAAGGAGATTGAGATAAGGAACTGTGATCCAACTCTCAGGAACCGTTGTGGCGCTGGAGTGTTGCCTTATGAGTTACTTGCACCTACCTCTCCACCTGGCGTTACATGTAGAGGGGTTCCTAATAGCGTGTCCACGTAAACACCACCTATACGCCTTCGCCTTGCTGTGCGCCACAATCCCAACAATTTTCATCTTCATAAGAATTTAGGATAGATCCCTTGACCATTATTCAAGGCATTAATGATCACACGAGAAAAAATGTAGCATGTGTTATATTTGTTAGAAATTTGGAATATATATACATATACACACACATTTCAATAAAACAAAATTACTTTGATTATATATGTATTTATTAATTTATATAAGTTAATGATAAATTAGACCAACCTTATTAACTTTTTTTTTTTTTGGCTCTATTTTTCGTCAATTTCTGCCGCCTCATTATTTCACTTGGTCAATTGTTGCAGTTTCTTATGACCCAACTTGTTGGCCACAAATATTCTGTCAGTGTTTCGTCTTCATCTGAAAAATCTACCAGGGTTAGACGAAATCCCTTGTGCTTTCTTTCCCACGTTGAATCTTGTTAGACATTAGTGCTTGATAATTTGACCGCAGAGTATATAGTTTTTACACTAATTCATCACATCTAAACAAGTTTGAATCTTCCAAGGGGCATAATGCGCAACCTCGTTCTGATGGACACGAGTAATGATATTTATAAAATAAAACATATAATTTGTTAAAAATAAAAAGATAACCAAAGAAGCAGAAAAAAATGTGATATATAAAATAAATTATATGACGACAAAAAAATAAAGAAACATAATAAACATGTGGAAATTATTATACAATTACCCTTAATATTAAATTACACCACTTTCCCTGTACCTTTGATTTCCACACAAATTTGCTTCCCTACGAGTCTAAGACAAGCGGGCAACAATTATTTATGTCTATGTCATTTATTTCATTCGATGGAGTCCAGATTTTTGCATGTAGTCAATATCCATTTTAACGAAAGTTTAAGTACGAGAAAGCATAAAAAAGTAGATTGTAGACCATAATTTCAACTGCGAAGACAAATCAATAACCTGAACTAGTATCGACAAAAAATCTTATTGGAAACGGAAAAGATATTTACACGGATAAAGAAAGACTTGTGAAATTAAACACCAAAATTTTGATCACATATTGACAAGCTTCGAACCGATGGTGGAACTTCAATGTTGTAAGGAATGCCAAAAATTTACAACTGTGGGACAAAAGAATAAGGAAAGACCTGAGATAATTTACTGATTGGTCAGGTTGCATAAGGAACTCATCAAAATTAGGGCCAGGAGAATATCCATTCCTCATCCGCAAAAGCTATATACACAACCCTGCAGATTTCACCACCATTGCATGACCTCACTATTGAAGGGAAAATGTTAATTTGATTAAAAAAAATAGAGCTCAAACTTGATATCATCACAAAAAGTCACAATTACCTTTTGTAGATAGAAATCAAACCCCAAACTAGGAGAAGGTCAAAAATTAAAGCCACATAGGAAGAGGACTAGGTAAGTTTTCCAATATATGTATGCTATCTAAAAACAAGGCTTCCATTCTGCTGTAGTCTCAAATTTTCTACGAGTAGTTGATAGAAAGATTTTAATGCTTTGAAATCACCACCCTGCAAAAAAATATTATCAAGAATGTTAGGCACACCACATCTGATATTCAAAGGGTGATTCACCTGGAAAACAACACGCATTAAGATGCACCTTACTTAGCAAGATACTTCCACATCATAAATATATTAATAATTTTCGCAGGAAAGAATGAGACAAAAGGACATCAATAAAATTTTACTTTCAGCACACCCAGAAAGTATACTATAAATATTTCAACAAGAGTTTGATTACCTGCAACTTTTGACGATACTGCTCTGCCAGATCTGGCGGGCAATGTGCTGAAGAAAGTCCTTTTGATACAAAATGAACAAGAAAATCATCCCCAAATTTGTCATACATGATCTTCTGTGCTAGCACAATTTCTCCAAACAAAACAAACTGCAAAGCAAAATAATAATAAAGAGAAAGAAGAGAATGGTACTAAAATTTGGCATAAACCAACAAGGCAAAGCACTAAAATGGAATTTGACTTTCTCAATCAAGTTTGATGAATTAAGCTATCATTTAAGTTCCTTCCAAAGTAACAAACACCAAAAGCCATAACCAACCATTGGTGTTAATCTCGGATAGCGGTAAATAGTGGCTATTGCAGAATAGCGTAAACAGGATGACCGCTATTTTATAATATGCATATATAATCATGTAAAACATTACAACATGACTGTTATATTAAACAAAAATGATTTCATATAATAAATCACTGAACAGACTCCAGAAAATCTGATTTTTCCAGTGAACAGAAAAACAGAGATGCCGGAAAAACTAATTTCTCCGGTGAAAAACAAAACAGAGGATATGCCTCAGAGGAGACACAAGAAAAGCTTGTTCCTCCGGCGAAATGGAGGAGGTGAGCCTCTTGACAAGCTGATTTCTCCTGCGAAATGGACTGGGTGCGCCACTGAGAATGAGAGAAACTGCTACGCAGAGGCTCAGTCTTTTTGCAGATAGAGGAGAGTGTGGGGAAGATCGGTTTCTTTTTTTCCCCCAAATGACCTTTCTACCCTTAACAAATAATCTAAACGGTGTGTTTTATAAAAAAATAGAGTAGGATTTCTTTCTTTTCCCTAAATCACGCGAACGTCTCCTTGTTTTGGCTGCGAAGGCCTGCACCTGCTGCGACATGCCAAATGCCCCGCGATGTGGCAGCCAATGGCCACACCGCACTGCTCCAGCACAATAGCACCACTATAGCGCGCTATTAACAAGTATGTAACCAACAATTCATTAACTGATATTTTCCTTCAATGCACAACTAGCATGCTCCAAGTACCCCATGATATAGTTATTCATACTATCAGAAATTTTTTTCCTTAGCATTTCAGTCTGAAATTTCCATGAAACAATAAAATGCAGAGAGCCAATACGAAGCCAAAACCAATCTGATTCTATAGCAAATCTAAGATAATAGACACCCTTGAATATACAAGCATGTTATCTAACCAACAAGTCATAACTGCATAAACCACACATTGTCAAAAGGTCTAAGCCTCCTTATTCCAGCTAAAACCTTTAAAACACGTTATAACAAACTGCTACTAGGAGCTCAATAGTCATCACGAACCCCCCCACCCCCCCCAAAAAAAAAACCAGATTAATCCACCAGAAAGGTAGCTCTGCCTCCTTCCATCCCATAAAACAAGTGACCTACTATGTTCAAACTAGACTTACACATAACAACACCAGGGGAAAGATCATTGCAAGCTCTACATATTTGCAAACTGATCAGTCAGGACGACCCTAAAGCAGGGTTTGGGCACTGGAAACACTCACTGAAAATGTTGCTGCCAGTAGTGAACAGTGGCAGAAATGCTGGAAAATTGGAGAAAAGCTGACTTGAAAGAGAAATACATCTCAAAATGGAGAGACCAGAAACGAGAGAGAAACATGGTTTCGAGAAAATATTTTCACCAATGGACAACCAGGCCCACTGGGTATTCACGAATTAGAGTTGCCTCGCATCAAGCTCTAGATAATATGGTAACTTAACTTCTAGGTAGAAAGTAATAAGCTGACTAACACTTCTCTAGAATAAGCCTCAAGTACACGAGTATAGTTCTTGCAGAACATTTTTCAGATAATAACAAACTAATGCAAAATTTCAGAATCAATAGCATACAAGTTGAATGACAAAAATCCAGGTGGTCAACTATCACGCCATGAACTTTTCAGCCAAAGAGATTTCTCCACACAAAACATGAATAATACAAGGAAGAAGAAAATATGTACTTGTAAGTTGCCATGAAACTAATGAAAGTAAGGCTGATTTACCCAGAAACTAACTAGAATGAATTACACGACCATTTAGACTTTTATTTAAAGAAATTTACACAAATAAAAACATCAGACAAATATTCATTAACAGATGTTTCCTTCTCGCCAAGCTTAATCATTATGCTCCATGTACCTGATGAGAATGGTTGATACTATCCTACAATCATATGATGAGGATGAACTACAATATGTGGGACCAAATCACCAAATACTTCATCTACATGGAACCCCATGACTTCATTGCATTCAACTAAGGGAGAACAATTATTTTCTCAAAGGATTAGCAAGATAACTCCAGACCTCTATCATAAAACCTAGTTACAACTTACAATTCAGAATACAGTTCTAGTAAAGAATTCCTTAGATTATCACATGTTAGACAATTCCAAATTCTGAAACCAAAAAGTGTAGCATGTTACACTCCTGTAAATGAAATTATTTATAGGAGAATGCTGACAAATGTCTAAGGACATTGGTTTAGGAATAAAAAATAGAAAGCTTTTATAGAAAAACATTACCAATGCACCCCACCATGATTTTTTATAGAAACTTTTTATTTATTTATTTATTTCTTAACTAGTGTCCTAATCCTAAAGGACACTCGTTAGCAGGATACACATTTATATTGTACAATTATGTTATCTGACACCCTACTATACTCATGATCTTCTTGATATTCCTTCAAATAAACCATATTTATGATGTTCACGTTTAATAGCATCATTATTCCTGATGTACAAGTATGTAAAATCAAAATTTGAAACTCTGCTTTGGAACATTTTCTTGAGCTGTCCTCAAATGCCATCCATTTTTATCAAAAACAAATTACAAGCAAAATACTTTTCTTCACAGGCTAAAGAATGAGAAGACAAGCTCTACCTTCTATTATAAGATATAACCTGTCTTATAACAAGGGGCAGAAATGAGAAAGAAATCTTATCACATACACCATGATTTTAGACAGCAGTATCATATCACTTTGAAAGAGTGACTAAAAGAATGCATTAAAAAAATAATACATGAGTCTTACAGTATTAGCATCGTGGAACTCAAAAGATCTGTCCAGTACACTGTACAGACAGCAGTTTATAGCAAATGCTTCCATCACAAAACTTCGAAAACCAGGAACCTGTAAAGTATCAACCAATAAGGGGAAAAAATCTAAAAAATCAGGATAAGTAGAAGCGAGTAGAATCTACCTTTTCTTCATAAGGCTGGGCACACCAATCTTTAATTAATCTAGTAAAAATCTGTACACATGCCTAAATTGTGAAAATAAAAAAGTTATGGTTCAGATCATTGGTTCTGTCAGAAGCACTAATCTAGGGAAAATAATGAGCCATAGTTGATAAATAGCAAACACTAGACATACCTTTCTTACAAGAATATCCTTATGATTACAAGAAGAGTACAAAAGCAACTGCATCACTGGATCCAGGTACACTTTACATTTTGGGGAAACAAATACAGGAGACAGATCATGTGCAGTAATCACATGAAGAAATGTATACAATGTTCGCTGAAGTTCTTGCAATTCACGAATTTCCTTGAAGAAAGGAATAATAATCTTATTACCATGCATATATATTTGAGAGAGCAAAGAAACAAAGAATGAATGAAATGGTAATGCAAAAGATGCATTTCAGGATTTCACATTTAATACAATACAGCTATGAACAAAGAAAGACATTCAGTTTATATGCAAGAATACAGCTATCAACTAAGTACCAGAATAAATAAGCAGTGTCATTGTTTCATTAATCTAAGATGCATCAGATTTTTGCATGGCTCCATAATTTGAAGTGAAAAACGCATATGGAAAAGTGGCCACATGACAAAAAAACTAACAAGCACATATTATCAAATAGCACAAGCACAAACTGCCTCACCAACTCATTAATATGTGATAAACAACAATCAAACAATATAGAGCAGTCACACACAAAAGTAACTTAAAAGAAAAGGGAAAATATATCCAAGATATCTATGAAGAAACTGCATCAACATTTTATACCTCAGTGACAGCATCAGGACCCAAGGGTAATCCATCTCTTGGAATAACACTGAATATCCGATCAGCAACAGCTGGAAATATTTCCTCCAAAATGTCATGCACCAAAGTATTGAATTTGCAGATAAGTTGATTGAGTAACAAAAGAAAGCCAGTCATCTGCTTTGGCTGCAATAAAACATAATCAAGACATTAATTACACAGTTTTATCTTATTTTTGAGCAGGGAGCAGGAGGGAAGAAAAATCAACTTCAAAGTGAACATTCTGGTGCAAAAGATGTTATGTCACTCATGTTGAAATTATGAGGTTTAGGGATAAAGGGAGTAATAAAGAATAAGGGAATGAACAATCTATACTTGATATTGATTTGATACCTAAGGCACTAACCTTTGTTTATACTAATCATAATCCTGACTAAATGAGGAAACAAATTACAAGAGAAGAAAATATGGTAACTAACCAATTCAGAAAGATAATGAGAAAAAGGAAACTAATAATGTAAAATAAAACAATATGACGATATTTTTGGATAGTTCAATCAATATATTCTAACACTCCCATTCCAGCTAAAGTTCACTAAGCCTTAAGCTTGTTACAAATAAAACCCCTTAGAAAAAGAAATCAAATAGAATAAAATTTCACTTTAATCCCTCAAATGTGCAATGTTTAAATTAATCTCTAAATTTAAAATTTAAAATTTAAACAGCAATCCCTGAAATTAAGAATCATTAATCAATTTAGTCTTTGTCTTCAAGAAATGTTAAAATTAAATAACAAAGTATTTATCACGATAAATGACATATTAACATCCACTTTTGATACAAAACAATGTCGTTTTAAAATTTTCCAGATATAGTTCCATTTCATTCTCAACTTTTGATATTTTTGGACTTAACATCTCTTTCCCTTCTTCCCAATAGTTATCACTACTTCATCTTCTTCTTTATCGTCTCAGTGAGACTTGCTACTCACTCACTCCTCACTCTGTCTCAAATGGTGAAATTGATATTAAATTTCACTTCTCCCACACTTGCTTTCTTCTTCATTTTGCCTTCCACTTTTTTCAGCCAATGAAGCTTCCAAAACTTCCAAGCTTTCACTCACGACCACTAGTATACTTCTGAGTTTGCCAAGAAAACCTGCACCCTTCACATTTACATCAGTAGTTTCCATGGCTTCTCAACAGTATTAATGCCATAGTTGTTAATCTCAAATAGCGGGGTGTAGTAAATAACCCTCAAAACGCTATTGCAGGATAGCACATAGCAGGATTGCCGCTATTTTAAAGTTTTTTATATGGATATAAAGTATATACATATGCAAATAATTATGTATATAATAATGCTAAACAAATGCATAAATAGCATAACATAATAGAGGTAGGACTGTAGAATCATAGAATAGAGAGAAGAAACGAAGTGGCTTTTGCCAAAGAGTCATCATAAATGAGTGACTCTGCTGGATTGGAGATTGTTGCAAAGCAGAAATGAGACAGAGATGGGAGGAGGGAGTTTCGAACAAAGAAGGGGGAGAAGAAAAACAGTGTAGAAAAAGTGGGGTTTCATCATGTGTCTCTAGTTGCAAAGCAAAAGAGCAATAGAGAGGAAGGGGAGTCGAAGAGAGAAAGGAAGAAAAAAACCCAGAGAAAAGTGGGGTTAGGTCTGAAAACTAAGAAGACTATTTTACACTTAAAAAAACCTAAAGATTGTGTCATCATACGGGCAAAAAGAAAAAATCAGCTTATTAATTAAATATTAAAAATCTTTTTTACCCTTAAAAAAACCCTAAAATTCCTTCACTTTGAGAGTAGAAAAGGAAAGTTAATATCTTTCCCTGTGATGGCACTATTGCGCTGCGGATGGCCGCGTTTTGGGCTGCAAATACAGCCGCCATTGGAAGCAATGGCCACAACAGCCAAAAAGCATTGTTATGCCAGATCTATAGTGGTCAAAGGCTGCTCTACCACACACCACCACTATCGCACCGCAATCACACACGGTTAACAACTATGATTAATGCACTAACAAGTTGCACCCATAAGCCAACGCCCTTTCGTCCTCGTTGTCTTTGAGGACTAACGCTATCAACTTCATGCCACTCACTCCCTAAAGTTCCTTGGTCTCCACAACTAGTGCCTCTAGTCTGAATCCAACCACAACTTCAATGTCATCATGGGAGTCTTTGACATCGTCACCTATCTTGAGCACTAAAGCTTCTTCAATTTGAAGCTTGGCCTTATTCCTTGCTATAGGAGTGGAGTTTGCAAAATCAAAGCATGCTCATTGGTGTTAGATTCTTCTAGTCCCCTCAATCCCAACAATGAAACCGCCTAATTCACGTCAAAAGGAAAAATTGAAAGAGAAGAAAGATAAAGAATAGGAAGGGATAACCATTAGGAAGAAGAGGAAAGATGTAAAACCCCCAAAATCTCAATAGTCAAGAACAAAAATAAACTATTTTTAAGAAATCATAAATTGACGTCATTCAGTGTCCCACTTAGATGTTGACATATCCCTTAACGTAAAAAATTATCACTTTGTTACTCAATTCTAATGATGATTTGACAAAATAACTAAATTGATTTATAGTTCCTAATTTCAGAGACTAAAATTTTAAATTTAAGGAACTAATTTCAATGTTGCTGCACACTTCAAAGACTAAAGTAAAAATTTATTCAAATCAAATAATACAATGGAGTGACCAAGGTAACTCTTAGGGACTACCTCAGGGCAAGGGCCAAGGATGATTTCTTTTGTAAAGCCATTGGATAAGGCTCATATCTTTGGGAAGACCATGAGGCCGAGCAGATTTCTCTTATCTCACAAATTCAGTGCACAATTTGAAGGAGGCTAGATCTGACTTAAGGAGGTCATAGGTCAACAAGAGGAAAGAGAAAACAAACCAAATAGTGATGACAAACTAATAGAAGTGATGAACCAAGGGCAGATCCAGAGGATCGCAGTCAAGTCAGGCACTATTTAAAAAAATCAAAAACAGACCAGGACATGCTGCCATGTGTGGTAGGGGCACACACACAATCTCTAGTAAAAGAGGCTCTAACAAGAAATGGCCAATACGCAGGAGGCAAGCTTGATTACGTTTTGTGTGCTTGTTAGCTGGAGAAAGCAATGGATAGCGGCGGTCACACAACTGAAAAAACAGAGGTCTAAACCTGTCCAAAAGATGTACGGGTGGGATCGGAACCCAGAGCAAAACTCAAAGCCCAAAATTGTCTAAACATGCTGCTAAAATGCACAGCAGAAAAGATCACAACGCAAAGTTGAAATCTATTTGAAACACAACAGTAAATGCATGTCGAAGATGTCACAGTGGCAATGAAACTAGTTAAGGAGACGGCAGAACAAAAGGGAGGAATACCAGAATGAGTACACAACAGGGGTGACTGGACACCAGAGAGGAGGCAGAAAAATGACTGTGGCAAGAGAGACCACTAATTTGAAAAAGAATCATGAAAATAAAGCATAGTTCCAATCCCAAAGTCAAAAAAATAAAAAAAACCCAATGCTGGAATAGTTAGGGTAAGGGACCGAAGGATGGTTTTGCTCCAATACCATGTTGAAATTATGGAGTTCTACATATAGGAGGAAGAGAGGGTACACAAATGAGCAATCATCAATTTGACATTATATGATGTATTATAACATGAAGATATGTTTATAAAGCATAAAACATTAGCCATTATTTATACTAATCATAATCCTAAGACGGGAAACCAATGTGAGATAAGGAAATAGGGTAACTAATCAACCCTAAGAGATTATGGGAAATACAAAATCTAATCCTAAATGATAATTTAAGATACATATAATATGATGTTTTTTTTGGATATTTTCATATATTCTAACACTTCAAATTAGGATCACTGTGACACTGTCAACCAACCACTCAACCTACCACAGCAACAAGAAGCTCCACAAACACATTATATGATACAGAAAACACGTCAAGAAAATCATAACAGAGTTATTTGCTCAGTTCTGACAAAACCACAAAAAAAGAGAGAAAAGTAGGCTGCTCTCACAGGTTTAATTATCCATGCTATATATTAAAAACCCAGGCTTCAATTATCATACAGCATTTTCATGTGCAGTCTAATGGGATCATATATCAAAATGGTCCAACAATAAATTAAATAGATCACAAGTGAGAGACGAGTATCATTCTCAGTATCATCACAATCCAATTCCTCTTGCAACTACAATAAGCATTTGCAAAATCAATCTTCAACACACCAATAGTAATGCAAAGAAATGCATTTAGATCTAGAAATTGTTAAAAAAAATTATGCTAAAGAAATTAGAGATAATATGTACCTCAATTTCTTCAAGCAACCGCTCCAATGCCTTGGGAAGGTAAGGAAAGACAGATGTTCCTAGTGTATCCACCATGCGATGTATAAAAGATGTGACCTGAATACCATAATGCATATTATGTAAAAATTAATGATCTTTTTTCGAGAAACAAAATTCCAATCACAAAATCTAATTCATACCTTGTTTCGCAGCGGTTCTACTTTTGGAAATACAACAAGAACTTGAAGAAGTACATCTAATGTCTACATATAAGACAGAATGACAAGATTTAGGAAATAAAAGATTGAGAAATAATAACACAATTTTTAATACAAATAGGCACAGGCTAAACACAATACTTTTAGTCACCATAGTAGTCAATAATGGCCAAAGTGGCCGCTATAGCAGCAGTGCAGAGTGGAGCAACACCCTGCAGCTATTTTCCAATCGTCACGTTTTGATGTAGCGACTGTTATGCCGCAAATTGTGGCAAAGAACAGTGAAAATTGCGGCCACTATTCCATGCGAAGCTAAAAACCAATTTTACCCTCCCTTTTTGAACATGGATACCTTTACAAAGGGGCAATCTTAGGATTTCAACCCCCCTTTTATATAGCTGTAGCTGATTTTCTCCTTCGACATCGAGCCCTAACATTTCCCTCCCATTTTGTTCCGCTTGCTTTTCTGGTGCTACCTGGCTTTTTGTTCCTCTTGCTTCTCTGGAGCGACATTGAGAGTCATCATTTTCGACCAACTTCTTATCATCTTCTTCATCTTTGGCGACATGTTTATACATGAGCCAAACGTTTCTAGTCTTTTTCTTCATCTCTGGCAAAGCTTCAGACATGACTAGATGTTTTTCGGTCGTCATATTCATCTCCAACGAAGTTTCCGAGGAGACCCAAACATTTTCCAGTCACTGAACACTATTTTCTATTTTGTATTTTCCTTTGCTGTTTATTATTTATTTCCTTCTCTGTTTTATTCCAAATTTGAAGGCCTAATACAGAAGCAATGGCTGCTCCCCCAATCAGTCACAGGGAACTACCTCTATTTGGTTCTTTTATTTTGTTATTATTAATATTTGACATGTGTTATGTTCTCAAACTTGCACTTTTAATCATTAATTATGCATATGTCTTTAATCTGGGCATTAATTCTGTATTTTTCAGCATATATGTGTGTAACTTAATTTATATTAGGTACATTTAAAACTTTAGAATAGCAGTCATCCCGCTATCCACTACCATTTTATAACATTTTTGAAATCGGCCACTCTGCACCGCTATCCAGGATTGACTACTATGTTAGTCACACAAACAATGTTAAAAAAATAGACTCTACGCATTGTAAAACAAAACTCCAGAACATTATCTATATACACATCCATGAATCATGACCCGAACAATTTCAAAAATACAAACCTGCTTAAACATGAGACCAATTGCAGGGCGACTAGCAGTTACAAGACGCTCACTGAAGCCCTACATGTAAAAAATAGTAAGAATGGATGAAAAAACAAAACTGTTGATGTATTTTCCCAGAATACTACCCTTTAAACTTCAGATTAAATGTACAATAAAACATAAAATATATCTTTTATAAAAGAATATATCAGAGATGGGAAAAATCAGAAGTCTTAATTAGAAAAGCACCTTACTGAGAGAATTAATTGCCATGATAATTTGCTGGATTACAGTAATCTTGGCATTAGTCTCCTCATAAGTCAATAACTTGGCATTTATGAGCAATGCCTCAACCTGTATTAAACATCCAAGGCAAATGATGGCATCAGATACCAGCTGCAATAATCTCAAAGAAGGAGGGTTTTGGAAGGCAAGGTAAAGGGACAATTTAACAAAATCAAGTATCTTGTGGACTTCTATTTATTTTGGATATGAAAGTATCTTGCAAATTTAACCCAAAAATAACCTGCTGACAAAGAGGACTGAGCAAAGAAGATAGATAATCAGATTGCTTTTCAGGAGGGACATCTTCTGTTCCAATCAATAATCCAATTGCCTGTCAAGTGTGTCAATTAACATCTGAGAACTAAAACCACAACCCAAAATTTCAAAGCAATAAACTTAATCCTGAAACTTTAGAAAATGTGAATACCTCAAAAATGTGGCTACCATCTTCTGACCCTGATAGCTCTTCTGTTGTATAATTCATAATAGTGAATTGAGCAACTGTATCTTGCAGGCTCTAAATTTAACAGAACATTAAAAAAGTATTAAGGATACAGAGAAGGTGGAAGAAACCAATCACATGATTCATCCATGTGCATCAAGGGAAAACAAAAAATGCAAGAAGTCAGAAATAGTTTCTTTATAATTTCATTTATAAATTATATTATTTTGAGTACATTTAAAATACAGAAAAACTAGAGGGATGGATTATATAATTGCTACCTGCAAAATTGTCTCTATAAAAGGCACCAACTTCACCTTCAGCAATTTTACAACCCTCATAAACAAATAGCTGGCCCTACGGCTTACATTGATGTTTGAATGATGTATGCCTCTTTCATCAAGAAAGGCAGTCAGAACCATAGGAATATATTGAGTATTATCTTGAATAAACTTGACATATCTTGTCACTGTCTCTAAATAAACAAGGGCAACAAGCCTATTGCAGTGACATGAAAACTTCGTTGATAGAAGTGTGAGCACCAGCTCACTCAACAACCCGCTCCCAGTTCTTATGGCTTCCTCACTTACAGATTCTCCAAGTGCGTGTAGGAGGGAAAGTGCACCTTCCACCTCCTCCACATTGCTATCTGAAGATCTTGAAACAGCACTTGCTAATGCATTCCTGATAAACAACTGAGTTACATCAGGTGCTACACGACCCACTGCACGAAGCAGAACAAATAAATCCTTTCTGAATTCTACCATCCTATCTTCCTCCTCTTTCCCAACTTTGTCCATTACATCAAGATTAGTGCGGTATGCTGGGTCATAACGGATTAGCACAAGGATAACTTCCAATATTTGTCCCAGGTGAAGTAGATGTTTCTCCCTCAAAGGAGCAAAGCTCTTCAAAGTGGCAACATAACCTGAAAGAAACTGAACGATATTAAATGTAGCATCTACCTCAAAGTTCTTCATTACATAGAAAATTGAGGGTAAAACTTCATTCAACAGCTCCATAGAGATTGCTTTAGCATCCTCTGAATTTATGCGTTTAAAGCAATCCAAAGCCTCCACAGCATACCCAGTAAGCAATGCAGCTATGTCAGAGACCAGCTCAGGATCACCATCCTCAGTCACCAACCTAAATACTTGACTAATTTGCAGGCTTTGCAACAATGTCAATTTGGATTGGGGCTCCATTCTCTTAGAAACAACTGCCAACAAGCATCTGACTGCAGCACCACGAAGCTGATCAGACAGAGTACCAACCAAGATCAAATCAAACAACAAAGGGATAAAAGCGTCATTGACGATCAACCCGATGTCGATCCAAGAAATATACCTCCTCATGGAATCTAACACACTAATACATAGCTCTTGATCAGAATTCCGGTACATAGAAACAATGTCATACCAAGCTCTCACTATTTGGGAAACACACTGCTGTCTCATTGCATCTTTAACCCGGCCAGCAACTGTCAAGTCCTCAGGGGTTCTAGGGTAGTCCAAACTAATTAATTCATCATCCAGGGCATTCAAAACCCTACAGAACATGTCTATGACCACATTCCCTTTGCTCAAATGCGGGAAAAAATCAACAAAGACGGACGACCAAATCAAAGGGTACTCGAAGTAAATCAAAGTTATCAAAACCTGTGCAAGCTTGTTCTTTATAAATGCGGGACCTTCCAATATCCTTATCAGGTTTTTATCTTCGAGGCACACAATAGAAAACACGGAGCCCCTGATCATGTGCCTCTCATCCGGGGTCATTGTCAAGTATCGTGTTCGAATGACTTCGTGTAAAGTCTGTAGGCACCAAAACTGGACTTGAACAATATTTGAAAAGCATAATTTTTCAATGCACAATCTACAAATTGATGGCTTCTCCTTAATGTTATTACAATAAACTTTAGCCTGTTTCTTCAAGTCATCATCCATACCTCCCGATTCATCAAACATAATAAGAATCGCTTTCTCCAGATCATCCATATAGAGTTGTGCGAATGAGGATGGATTTGAATGGAAAGGGTTTTAGGATAAGCGAGGGCTTACCTTGTCGGATCAATGGAGGAAGAACCTAATAAACTGAATATGGCTAGGGTTTATGTTCGCTTCGGGTCTACTATTTCCTGCTGCAGGTTTTTTTTTTTTTTCCTACTTAAAAAGAGGGGTTTAGAATTTGTACTGCCGCTTATGGTTTGATCTTTTTCAGCTAGATTGTAGGTTTGATTCCCTTTTAATTAAAAAATGGTTAAAAAAAAATTTGGAAAAATTATTTATTATAGCAAAATAAACTTTTAAATAAAATTTTATATCTTTAAATACTTAAACTCAATATTTAGAAAATGATTAGTATTAAAAAAAATTAAAATTATGTTCACTTAAAATATTTTTTAATAATATAAAAATATGTTTAGTATGTTTAAATTTTTTGAAAATGTTATATAATATTTGTTGATAGAGACAAAACTTAAAAGTATTTGTTACATCGTTGATATTATTTAGGGTTTAGAGTTTTATTTCGACAGTTTGTAATAAAAATATAATTTGTTAACATGTTTTTTGTAATAACTTTTTTTAAAAAGTTTTCTTTGATTTTTTTTTTTACTGGAATTTATGTCATTTGTTTTTTTCGTTGGTATTTTTAGAAAAAAATTATGTTTGAATTACAATAGATGTTATTTCATTATTTTCATGCATAATATTATTTTTTATCTTGTCATTTATTGTAATTACTTACTTACCTTAATATTTTTATTTTTATCATTTCCATTTTTTTAAGTTGTTCTTTTAAATTTACTTTTTACTACTGTTATATATAAGATAGTTAATTGTATTACAATATAATTATTTTTTCTTTTATATTCATAAGTACTTTATGGTCACATGACTTTTTATATTTTTTTTTTTCACTTTAACCGCCTAATTTATATTTTATGAGTAACATGTTAATTAATTTTTTCATTATTTTATAAAAATTAATCTCAAGTATCTAAATTTAAAATTTTGTAATATAATATCTTTTTCCATCTTAACTTTTAATGTATGATTTTTCATCTTAATTTTTTTTTACTAAACTTACAATAAATATACTTTGTTTTAATTTTACTTTAACGAAAATATTTAAATTATAAAGCCTCATATTAAAAGTAACGACATAGGCAATCAAGAGATGAATAACCATAATATGCGCATAGTCTCGTAATAAAAATAATTATTACATAATTTATGTACGTAAATCATGAAGATCTACTCTGTGTTTCTAACAATGGAATCATAAATCTTACTATTCAAGGGTGGATTTAAATTGAAAGATTTTCATTGCACGTTTGGTTATTAAATTGATTCCTTATGTGAAATGTAGGGCAACAATTGAAGTACTTTTTAGAAGGGAAATTTTGAAATAAAATGAGTTGTATGCCATTGACGTGATGGATTTTGTCAAAGTTTATTAGAAAAGTCAATAGATAATATTGCACACTTTTAAAATATTGAGCACTCGTGCATTTTTTTTCTTAGAAATAATTTTATTAACAGATCGGTCACCCGATAATCACAAAATTTTAAGGAAAAAAAATTAACAGAGTGATTAATTTGCAAACATGAAAACTTTAAAAATTGAATACAGTTTTCTAAAATTTAAGGACTAAGCTGCGCATGACACACGTCCTTTTAAGGCTAAGAATGTTTTATAAAAAAATATTCATCTATCAGGTTTAAAGTTCCAACAAATAACCCTGTCTTCCAACTTTTAATTATTGTGCGTCAATCTTTAATTTAATTCAATATTAAATAAATCTCACCTATTTAATGTTGATCACAAAATAGATGGATACAAAAATTTCAACACAACATTGACATCTTAAACTTGAACATTACCTAAACAATTTTGTAAATGACATATATCATTTTTTTTCACATGATCAAGGTAGCTTTAATAATTCCTCTCATTTTCAAGAATAGAAATGAGGAGACATAATGAGTAAATCCTCCTCTTATTTCTTGAGATAGTAAACATTAGCCCATTAGGTCAGTCCTTTGTCAAAATGCTCATTTTAGTCTTTTACTTCATTTGCATAGTTGTTTTACAAAATAAGTGAACATTTTTTTAAGCTGGGAATTAAAAGTAAATTAAGGATTAAAGTTACCACTAGATACAATTTTAAAAATTAGTGTTTACTTGAGTATCAGACTTTAGAACTCCAAAGTCACCAGCATGGATATCCGTTTACCTTGTCCACAGATACCTCATTCCTTTTCAGTAATCACCACAAAAACATCCTTCAATGACCACTTCCGTCTATCACTTTTCGCTGGGGGGTTAATGACTGCCCTCTCGGCATTTGCTAAACGGTAGCCTATGACAATCTCTCTTCTTTGCCGAGCTCGTAACATTATTTCATAAAAACTCAATTGCTCACCTTCACAAAGGTATAGATCTGCTTGCCTTATATGCATCTCATTTCCCTGATAAAATTAAGAGGAAAAAAAAAAAAAAGAAATTCATTACATTATGAAGCATGAAAATAAAAATGAATATTTTACTTAAAAGTTTATTCTTTGTTGCTCCCACGGAAACGACTTTTTTTTTTTAAGAAACTGGAAAACTCAAGTTACTAGCAAGGGATCTGAATTTATCAGTTTGCTATAAGATAGGGAGCTACATAACATAGCGAAAAGCAAACTTGGCAAGCTTTTCAGGATGTTAGATGTAATGCATGAAAAACATGTAATGTAATCTGCCCTTAATTTTATAGAAAAAAAAGTGTACCTCCTCTGCAAAGAGCTCCTCCAATACATCATTTATCTGCCGATCTTCCCCAACCATGGCCAAAGCCATGCTGACAAGTTCATTTGATAAAACATAATCACTGATCTTTGACATAGATAAAAGATTTTTAGTCCTAGGATCCAAAATTTCACTAATTATAACTGTTTTATCAGAAGCCTGCTTCATTTCCCCAATCCATGAACCTTTGGAGAAGCTTCCTCCATGAGCACGACTAGCCATAGCTACATAAGGAAGACGCCTGGCCTGAATCAAAGCGCCAAATATAACAAATATACAACTCAGAAAGCTTTGAAGGAACTAGGAATGTAGGATCAATTAATAAGGCTTGGAATAAAAATAATGATTGAAGTCCATCCAATAATTGCTCGTGATATTCAAGGGTGGTGAAAGTAATATAAGATCATGCAATTGTGAGAGTACAAAAAAGTAAATAAATAGGACAACATGATCTAGCTACAGCACCATGAGAATTCACTATCTAATTTTGCAGACAGTAATAGCATACAAACAGAATTGACGAAAGCCAAAAGATAAAACCATAGAGAATCAACAATAAACTTCTGCCAAAATATCCTCGCCATGTAATTTTCTATTGATATCAGATGTTTACATGTTATTGCTTAACCACAGTAGTTGTGCATTACATGATCTACTATAAAGGATGATAATGTTTGCGGTAGCAGAAGAATGGGCTAGTATATAGACATATTTTTGTCAAGGTGTATCAAATCAGAGCTTTTATTCTGTTAGACTAGAAACTCACTTGTATGTCACGAATTAAAAGTAGTGTGGCAAGAGATCTAGAGTCAGCTTGAATTGCTGAATCCTCTACTGATTCATCAGCCAAAATCAATATCTGCAAAGACCAGAAAGCTATAATTATGCTGTTGCGGTCTAACTTTAACCCCAACTAATCTATAATTATGCTGTTGTGGAAAGAGAAGTCCACTGAAGTCCAAACAAGCATCAATAACCCATAGGTGATTCAATCCCTTATATTATGCATGAAGAATAGAGATAATGCAGTAAGACAACACAGCGAGGACAAACTAATAAATGTCACTTACTGAATCAAATGATTCCAATGGAAGGCTTTCCAAGTGACGGCGTATAACAGCATTCCCCTCACGATTGACCAGCGATATATTTTCCAATCGAGTAATGTCAAGGCCACCATCGGTTAGCTTCTTTTCCCTCTCTTTTTCTGGAACATCATTGAACATCCAGAGTTCTGACCCATGTGCTAAAGATGCATCCAAAACCTAAAGGAACAGAGAGAATTTGGACAGGCCCAAAAAAGCATTATTTCCCCCTGCATATAAACTATTGTTGGGAGAGAGGGAATCGGCCACGACTCCCCCGAACTAAGAATCTTGCCTAATATGTCATATATATGCGCAACTTTTATCTAGCTCCTAAAAATTAAATATGTCCCAACCAAGGTTCTCCACAAGTCATGAGAACTTAAGATCCAAGCTAGGCATGATTGACATCTATTATTCAGGTGTTGGATGTTGAATCTGATTCTAGAATTAGTCAAATCCTTGATTAATTACGGCATAATTATGCCACATTTATGCTAAGCTAACTGTAAATATTTTCTTCCTACTATCAAGGGATTATTTGTACATAAATCTCTCTGATTTTAACCGTACAGTTTAGTAGGATAGATTTGATTCAATTTCCTTCTTTAGAATTCTGATTGTTGTACTATTTATAGAATTATTGATATCTTGTGACCTATTTTGAATCAAGAAATAAATCATCATTTCCTCAAATAATTCAGAGAAGACAACAGAAAGTGTAAATTTCAAATGTTACAAGCTAAGTGTAGATGTAACATGAGCTAATGACTTTCAGATCCAAAGAATAAAGAATGATGCAGAAAGTTGGAGGGTTAATACAAGACAGGCAGTCAAATTTAATGTTTCAGAAATAAAAGGAATTTTTCTCGGAGATGCCTTTGCCATTTCATGCACAATGGTAACTGAATCTAAAGAAAAACAGGGACCATAGCAGCACATTTTTAATAGCATTACCATGATCATATCCTCCATATCACGCCTCCAACCACAAAAAAGTATTCTCTCTGGAGATTTTGGATAAACAAAATCCTTGGGTAAGCTTCCCCTCCAAACCTGAAATCATCAATTAAAGGGGGCAAGGAACCATATCATTCAATCCCTCTCAACTCATCCACAAAATAAAATGTTCTTGACTTCCTTGGCTTTCCTACTTTTTCAGGGCACAACAATTATCACTGTTAGACCTTAAATAAATTGATTCTAATACAATTGTCAGTTGTATCTTGCTTAAAGCCTACCATAGACAATGTTATA